AGGAAACCTCCCCAGCTCGAAGTTGGACTTTGATTAGCCATATAGCCTATCTGATGCAGTTTTTCACGCTGATAACGATACCGATATTTATTTTTGCCGAGCGCCACAGGAACATTGTTAAAAATCGATTTAAAGTTTTGTCATGTTTCGCAGCCCCGCCTCAAAGCCCCTCCCGACGGGGGAGGATCCATCGGCGGCGTGGTGTAGTCGGCAAGTACTTGGCCTACCAATCTAGAGGTCGCTAGTTCGAGTCTTGCCGCTGACGACTTTTTTGCTTTTTGCTTCAAAAGTGCTGTGAAGGTCCTACAAGTCATCAAGAAATATGGTTTTAAGTTTTTTTGAACTTTTGGTCACCAATTCAGGTTGCTCGATTCGATTTCTCGGAAAGACTGTTTTTCAGCCGAAGACATTTGGAATTTACGGTGGATCCCCAACTATTTAATGCACCAGCCACTCTTTTAAAAACTTTTTGAAAAAAGGAGAAGGAAATACTAGGTTCTGTCTTTAAGTTTTTTTTACATCTTATGTCAAGCTTCATTTCTGCACCAAGTTAATTAAGCGTTTTGAGGTCATAAAATTCATGAGGATTATCGAGACCTGTGGTTCGTTGTAGCCATAACTACCTGAATTAGCGACCAAATGTGCAAAAAAAACTTAAAAATATTTTTCTTGATGACTTGTAGGACCTTCACATCACTTTTGAAGCAAAAAGCAAAAAAGTCGTCAGCGGCACGACTCGAACTAGCGACCTCTAGATTGGTAGGCCAAGTACTTGCCGACTACACCACGCCGCCGATGGATCCTTCCCCGTCGGGAGGGGCTTTGAGGCGGGGCTGCCAAACATGACAAAACTTTAAATCGATTTTTAACAATGTTCCTGTGGCGCTCGGCAAAAATAAATATCGGTATCGTTATCAGCGTGAAAAACTGCATCAGATAGGCTATATGGCTAATCGAAGTCCAACTTCGAGCTGGGGAGGTTTCCTTGTTAGTCCTAATCTCCCCAGAAAACGAGGAATGGCTTCCTTACCTTTTTAATGACGGGGAAGATGGGAACGACGGGCGGCTCCTGACTGGCCAGGGCCAAATGTTGCCGATATTTGGACATGTTACGCGACGGGTCGATGAGCGAGTGGATTTCTTCGAGGAACCGCGAGTATTTTCTGAATTCAGGACAGATGGATAGCTTCAAAATTAGTTCTTACCCGCCGACGCGTTCCCAGGTATTATGTAGGCGACGAACCGCCGGTTTGTCCAACCCAGAGACAATGGCGAACATTGAATTGAAGTTGCGCAGATCACGACAGTGCCTGGAAAAGCGGAAATAGAAATCCCGAACGTTCGGGTATCAGAAATAGCGTTAAAAAAACTAACCGCGCAACCTTGATGAACTTTTTGACGAGCTTGGCCCTTCGCTGCGTACTCCTCTCACGACAAACCTCCGTCGCCACCCACCACATTTCGCGGTTAAACACCGTTTCGAATTCGTCGAGCCGAGGCCAGCCATACCTGGGAAAACCCATGTTTTACAGCCAACATTCTTCTAATAACTCACCGGCTCTCCAGCTTGAACAACGAGTCGACGTATTCGGTCGGTTCGATCGAGGCAAAGACCGAAAAGTCTTGCAGGGTCAGCTGGGCGGCCAGAACCTGAAAAACTTTATATATGTTTTTATCCGATAAAACGCATAAAGATAGATATCATGGAGCAAATTAAGGATTCGCACCGCCATTTTTTCGCCCAAAACTCAAACTTGGACATTTTTCTAACTTTTCTAGACCATTTTTTCACCTGATAGTGTTAGCAAAAACACCATCAAAATAGCTGCTAGGTTATAGCTAGGCCTATATGCGAAAATTCACCCCCCCCCCCCGTTATTACTAAAGTACCTCAAAACCTCTTCCCACCTGTGCATTCAGCGATAAAATATGTGCTTGGGCCTCTTTGATGACATCCGAGGCCAAATCGTCGGGCACGAGCGGCTCGCTGCGGTTGTTGTTCTTCAGGTAATACCTAAAACAAACAAAAAACCATCATCGAATAAAGAACCTCCTACCGGCTATTCAAACTGATCCTTTCGGCCAGGTTTTCGAGTTGTGGCGGCAGTTTGCGCTGCTTGATGACCAGCGGGTTTTTGGCGCTCTGCGTGAATGCTGCTATACTATAATGCCATCCGTTTTACCGTATTTTCAGTTGAAATATTCTCGCATACGGTCACCTCACACAGGGCCCATTCGAGCCCACTCTCGGCGGTCATGCTGAATTCCTGAAATAGCGTGGATGCGGCAAATGGCTAAAAACCGAACCTGTAGCGCGAGTTGCACGACGTTCTGTGCGGTGGTTTCCTTGAAGACGGGGAGATACTTGAATGTTTGGTCGGCCCTGTAGATCTTTAACACATGCTCGGGGCTGTCCGTTTTGGGCGGGCCGTAGAACGAGGAGATGGCGCTCAACAGGTCCGGGTTGGATTTGGAGGCGCGCACGATGTCGGAAGTCGTATCGGAGGCCTGAAAATTGGAAAATTATCCTTTGAACGGGCAATTTTTCTTGTTCTCTGGTCGATCCTTTAAAATCAAGAGAGGGTCAGATGAAAACAAAGGGGAAGCAGACAAGATTTCTAGCTATGACCCTATAGCCCAATTACCCGGATTAGTAGGTTCAGGAATTGTTCTTCGTTTATCTGAAATCGAATTGAGAAACTGATAACAAGATCGTATCAGAAAGTTGATTAAAATGGACAATATTTAGTGAATATAGCTTTAGCTTTATGACCCACCGAATCAACGGCATCAATGTCTTTTGACGAGCGAATCATCGTAAACAACTTGTCCATATATCCCTTGTTGCCTAAAATATCAATTTGCTGCCGAACGCCGACAAGATACCGTTCATTTTGGCCTTGCTGTGCGTGTTGTTGTTTGGCTGAGCGCCGACACCCTTCACCGGGATGACGTGCGGCAGGCCGTTCATCGGCCCGAAGTGGTTCTTCTTCGCGTCGGCCTTGTCGTGTTTTTGGATCAGTTCCTGGAATTTGATAAATTTCTTATGGAACCCAAAAATATACACAAACCTTGAAGCCATTGATGTTGTTCTTCACGACGAGCTGCAACTTTATACTGCCCTTCAGCAAATCGATGGCCCGTTGAAGCGTGACAAATTTTAGCGTCTGGTCGTTGACCTCTGAAAATACAGTTTTAAAGAAAATTTCTGGTTGCTGAAACCTAGAATCTCGTCCGCCCGCTTCAGCCCGGCTTCTTCGGCCGCAGAATCCGGTAGCACGTCAGAGACAAAGATGCCGGCGCCCATTTCTTTGCCGCCGATCACCGAGAATTGCATTGGCTCATCCTGCAACGAAAATCGCTTTTGGCGCCAAACATTTTTCGCCGAACCTTATCCCTCCTCGCATATTTGATACTTCTCACTCGAGCCTTCACACTGCATGCCAGATTGAGTAGCGTCTGTTGCGCGTACATTTGATCTCGTTCAAGCGCCTGAAGGCAGCGGGATTAGAGTCTCGTGGGAGCACCGGTTACCTGCTCAAATCGCTCCAACAGCTTGACCATTTCGCGGTTCGTCTCGAAATCGTTGTAATGGTTGTTCACCCATAACAACACTATTCGAGCGACACGATCACGGTACTGCGGTTCGGCAAACCAATGCATCAGTTTCTCGAAGATCATCACCGGGTCGTGGATGAATACCCTGGAAAAATAGTTTTGAAAGGGGCAGCGGTTTTTTCTCTATTTATTGTTTACTATTTTGTATTTAATTTTATTACATTATCAATACATACATAATTTTTATCATATGAACCAACGAATTAGGGTAAAACTGTACCGATAGGTGAGCAGAAAGTCGTCGATATAATTGGCGTCAACTTGCCCATCGCGTTCTTCGACGAGGTGTGAGACCAACTTGTCGGGCTGGAAAAATTATTCTGTGATAGCAATAATACTAAAAAAAAAGAAAAAATGCGACTGCCTCACTTTAGCCTTGATGAGGACGAGTCCGACTTGGGCACCGATGGCTCGCCTCTCAATTTCAGAGACGACCTCACCGGTCGCTTCGTCACGGCCACGCTCGATGTGTTCGCCTGGAAAGGGTTGCATCACTGAAGAGAGAGAGAGAGAGAGAGAGAGAGAGAGAGAGAAAAAGAGAGAGAGAGAGAAGAAGAAGAGAGAGTGAGCGAGGGAAAGAAGAGAGTGAGAGCGCAATACTCCCCCGGAACCCACCGATCGTGCTCATAATCGAACAAAAATCGCGATGCTCAACCAGCACAAACTCGCAATCATCTACCATCGTACGCATGTCGCCAGTGTGATATTGCACCTGCAAAAAGATACATTACCCTATTTGTGGTCAGAATCTACCGAATTCACCGCCTCGCAGCCAAACGAGTCGCCCAGCTTGAACTCGACGCGTTCCCCGGAGGGCTTGACCACTTCCACGCATCCGTTCACGATTACGGCCCTGAAAATTTGGGGTTTTTCCAAGAACAAATGACAAATTCTCACCATGCATCGATCTTTTCGTTGTTCTGCATGACGACGGTGCCCGCGTCGGGTACGACGGCGAAGACCATCTATAAACAAAAGAATAACTTTATTTTATAGAAACAACTTATAGAAAAAAACCTAAACACCTCAATATTTGATCAACAGGGGAAAAATTGGCATCGTAAAGTAAGCAAATGCAACGCACCTTTAAACATAGTTGTCGCTTAATCGAAACGGGCAACGAGGCAAAAGCGCTCATGTGCTGCATAAAGTCCAAGAGCACGGCGACGTCTTCAGAATTCCGCTCGCTCGGCTCCTTTTCGAGACACTCGCGTACAGAGTCCTGAAAAGTGAGGTTGGTTCATGCGTGTTGTTGTTGGCAAGTGATCCGAGGGCATTTCAAGTCCACGATAAACAAGAGGATAACAGGGGGCAGGGGTGTTTGTTGTATCCCATAGCGT